GCTGTGTGCTGCACCCATCAACTCGTCATGCTTACATACAGGTATAACGTCCAAGTGCAATCCTCCCTCCCCCCTCCCCATGATAGGCCCCAGGTGTGATGTTCCCCTTCCTGAGTCCAAGTGATCTCATGTTCAGTTCCACCTATGGAGAACAAATTGGCGGTGTCTTGTTTTCGGGTTCTTGGGATAGTTTGCCTAAGAATGGAGGTTTCAGGCTGCAGTCCATGTCCGCTACAAAGACACAAACTCCATCCTGTTTTTAGGGCTGCATAGTATTCCAGTGGGTATATGCCACATTTCTTAAGCCTCCCAATCTGCACTGATTTGGGTGTTTCCACAGTCGTTGCTATTGGAAGTAGGCCTGCACATAAACCATGTACGCGTGGCTGTGTCGTTTTATAGCAGCATGAACGCTGCGTATGTTCCTTTGCCCGGTATATACCCAGTAAGAGGGGCGGGTCATATGGTACATCTAGTTCTAGAGTCCCTTGAGGAATCGCCATACGTTTTCCATAATGTGAGAGCTAGATTTACAAGCCCACCAATCAGGTAAAAGTGTTCCTATTTCTCACATTCCTCTCCAGACCTGTTGTTTCCTGACTTTTTAATTGATCGGCCATTGCTAAGTGTGAGGATGGTATCTCCTTGTGGTTTGAATTTGCATTGCTCTGGATGCCAGTGAGATTGAACATTTTTTCATTGGTCTGTTGGCGTATGAATGCTATCTTTTTGGAAGAAAATGTGCGTTCATATCCTCTTGCCCACTTTTTGATGGTTGTTTGTTTTTTTCGTTGTAAATGTTGAGTTCTTTGTGGTTCTGGATAGAGCCCTTTGTCAGATGAGTCAGATTCGCAAAATTTTCTCCCATTATGTAGGTGCCTGTTCACATCTGATGGTAGTTTTTTTGCTGGCGAAGCTCTTAGTTTAATTAGATCCCATTGTCAACTTTTGGGCTTTGCTGCTGTTGCGTTTGGTGTTTTACGCCATGAAGTCCTTGGCCCATGCCTATGCTGGAGCGCTAGGTTTTCCTCTAGAGTATGTATTTAGGTCGAGAGCAGAAGCGCGAAGCCATCGAGATGGCGATAAGGAGAAGGAGAGAGCCGTTTCGAGCTTCTAGCTTAGCGTGACGCGGGCCCGGCGCAAGGCCAGCACGATTTATTAAATGAGGAAGCCTGCCCCGAGCGTGGTGCGCGTGCAGTGTTGCAAGATCGAGAGTGGCGATGTAGATGGGGATTGTATTCTGAGCCCGTCTGGCTGTTCATGCGGTCTATGATCTCTGTTGGTACAGTACCGCGATGCTGGTTTGGGTTACTGTAGCCTTGTGGTAGTTTGAAGTCAGGTAGGGAGCGCCAGCTTTGTGCTTTTGCGTAGGAGGCTTGGTGTGTCCTCTTTTATTTCACTGAGCAGTGGTTTGTAGTTCTCCTTGAAGAGGTCCTTTACATCCCTTGTAAGTTGGATTCCTAGGTATTTTATTCTTGAGGTATGAATTTTTAAGAGGGATCTTAAATCACATGAAACTTAACCGTGGGAATCTTTTTGACATGGGTATCTTACAGAGCTAATGAGCCTTTTCTTTTTGAGCATACTAAATATCCTTAGTCAGGCTCTTATATTACTTTATTTTCATCAGGAGTGAGTTCATTTGGGGTTGTTGATTTTATTAACTGGCTGTTATTAGCATAAGGTTTGAACTCAGGATGTTTCTAAGGACTGGGTTCAAAGTAGAATATTAGTTACAACATCTGTTCTCTTGTTTAATATTTTGCAGTCTCACATTGGCCTACATTTGACAACTACTTTACATCTTTGTGAAAAGATTGCTCAAGTGGTAATTACAGGGTAGATTTCAATGCATTGCACCTATCCTTTAATCTCACATTCATTCTAATAAAATATTTGTTGAATTATATGGCTTTATGTTCTTCTCTGGTATACATATGCCTATGAAAGTATGTAAGCCTCTCTAAAAATGAGCAGTTCTACTGGGCAGAATTCTGCTGTCAGCAATTCTGACAGCAACTCTGGCTAATGCAGTTCCCATTAAGAGAGATTTTAGCAGTGCCATTTCTTTGAGGTATAATTTTGAAGCACTCTCCCATAACTATAATGCTAGAATGATTTGGTGATATATATGGCCCAATTTGGTGTGCAACGGAATGAACCTTCTAAAAGAATTACTGCTTTCAATTCACACCTAGTTTTAAATTGCATTCAAGTAAAAAAACTAGCATTTTTTTTTCTTGTCTTTCAAGGAGAAGTGTGTTTTCTCTCCACAGATTACTTACTTTT